ATCTGTGCAAATAGCAATACTCTTGATAAATACTACGATCAACTCCGTGGTGTCTCGCGCAGCTTGGGTTGGATGGCTTGGATATAGATGTTGAACAGCCCATGAGTCAAGCAGGTATTGAGCGCCTAATTGATAGGCTTCACCTACGATTTCGGACCTAGTTTCATCATCAGCCTAGCACCTGTGACTTCTGCCCTTAAGGGTGGAAGGAATCTGAGCGGCTTCAACTACGGGCATCTAGAATCGCGGAAGGGTTGTAAGATTGACTTTTATAACGGTCAGTTTTACAACGGCTTCGGCAGCATGACGACCACAGCAGACTATGACGATATTGTATCAAATGGATTCAAGCCATCTCGGGTTGTTGCCGGGCAATTTGTCTATCCCGGTCATAGCAAAGACCTATACTCTCAATTGAATGCCACGGTCGATTCTTTAAGGAAAACATATGGCCAAATTGGAGGGATTGCAGGGTGGGAGTATTTTGACAATGTGGCTGGCACAACCGAGCCTTAGAAGTGGGCACAAGTCACGACCCAATACTTCGGCCCAATTACGAATTGCAAGCCAAGACTTTCCTCGAAGTTATCGACTAGTACGGCCTCAGCGGAAAAGTTGGCTACTTCACGATAGACAATCACGATGCTAACGATACCATACTGTATTGCAAAAGAGATTGAGGGATTAGATCCGGTTGCCAAGCGACTACACTGTAGTGCCCACGTCATGAACATTATCGTTTAGTCCTTGGTCTCTCGGAGCAAGGCAAACGAGATCCAGGAGGATGAGCAAGAGGGACTCTATGAAGCCTATGAGCGGCTGTGCAAGCTATCCCAAAAAGAGGGAAGAGGCAGTATCACAAAGGCGTAAGCTACCGAGTGGCGGGAGTTTCCTGTTCTAGGCAAACTCCACAACGACTGGAACGAACTCAGAGATATTCATGCATTCTTACAGGCATTCCACAAGATCTCAGTACGTCACGGCCGAGAAAATACGCTCGACGAAGTTCTTTCGCATATGGATTTCCTCCATCATCACTTCACGCAGACCAAAAACAAGGCTTCCAGTAACCCACGCTTCTATGCGCTTTTTCACTTCGCTTGGTTAAAGTTCGAGGAGTATTACCAACTAACTGAACAAGCCCCTGTGTACGTGGCTGGTATTGCCGGGCAAAAATCCACTGCAGGGGCTAGACCTCAGCGGACGCGCACCTTTCTAGAGCACCTTCGGCTGATCTGAATCTAAAGACCTGGCGGGAATGTTCAAGAAAGAACTGGGAACCCAGGTGAATCTATGACCGAAGGCCAGGATGGCCGGGCTTGCGTAAAAAGTCCTACCGTGGGGGTCACCGTAAGCGTGGCTACCTCATATAGCTGGGGAATGCAGGGGTCGCTGGGAACCGCTATACTGACAATTAAAAAAAAATTGATGGCCGAGGCCAGCAGGGCCTCGGAATTTAGGTGAAGCCGGTAGGCTGAAGCTGGTTGTGAGGGTGGAAGGCAGAGATCACGACACCGACGACGCCATTGCAGTGCGGCCTTGCACAAGGATCGCCCGTGTCTCCGATCTCGTGTTTGCTTTACACCGAACCGATCTATCGGATGGGCAAGCCTGAGGGGCGGTTCGGCTACGCAGACGATACCGTCATTCTCTGCACTGGACAATCGCTGGAAGAAACATCGGGAATAGCGTCGGAATATCTTCAAGAACTCGTGAATTGGGGCGCCGCTAACGGCATATCATTCGACCCAGAGAAGACAGAAGTCATGCACTTCTCACCGGGGAGGCGGGAAACCGTGCTGCCCGTCCGCCATGGTGACGTGGAGAAGCAACCTGAGGCCGCCATGCGCAGGCTAGGCCTCTGGCTGGACAGGAAGTTGACATTCAAGACATGTGGAGAAGTGGGCAAAGCCCAGACGGTCGCCCACCACCTCCGGAGCCTAGGGAACACCCGGCGCGGCCCCAAGCCGAGCGCTGTGCAGAGGGCCGTCAGAGCCTGTGTCGAGCCGATTCTGCTCTTCGGCGTAGAAGCCTGGTATCCAGGTGCAACCGCGCCACGCTGGAGACAGCCGACGAAGTACACCCTCGCCACGCTGGAGACAGCCGACGAAGGAAGGACCATCTAGAATCCAGCAGCTTGTGCGGAAAATGAGCAAAGCCCTCAAGCAGGCCATCCGAGCCATTCTGGAAGACCACACCGATCGCTGTCCTGCACCAAGAAAGCGGCATGCCTCCGGTTCACCAACTGCTGGAGGTAAGATAACTCCGCTTCTCTGCGCGCATCAAATCCCTGGACCACACACACCCGCTGGCCAAACGCACCACCGAGGCAGCGCCACGGCCTATCATCAAGTGTATCAAGTTGAAGTACCAGCTCCCGCCAAAGACCTTTCCAACCCGGTTGAGGAGGACGAACAGATTGCTTGGGAATTGCCAACGCCCCGTACTCATCCCGCGCAAGTATAGCCACGAAACACAGCAGCCTCTCCAAACTGCATCCAAAGAAGAGTCCGCCAAAGACTTCGACCGATGGCTTCAAACCATCCCGCCGCTTAGTCTTATCGTGTATTCTGACGGCTCACTGTCCTCCAGCGGTGCTGCCGGATACGGCTATGCTGTCCACCAAAGCGGACGCTCTGTCTGCCAAGGCGCAGGACGCCTCGGCCCTGCGGAGGTGTTCGACGCTGAGGCTAAAGGAGCGCTGGAGGGCCTCAAAGCCGCTCTTAGGCTCTCTCGGTCTGCCTCCCAACGAATAGTGGTGTGCCTCGACAACATCGCGGCTGCCGCATGCCTCCGAGGCAAACCTTCCGACTCATCGCAGAGGGTCTTCTTGACATTTCAGGTCCTAGCGAAGACGCACCA